CATTAACCTCACTAGAAATTTTTTAAGAAGGAGAACAAGAAACTCTTTATGTCCACAAATTAGAAAAGATATAAATAAAATTATAATACTCAGCAAGTATGCAAAGAACTGAAAAAATGTACTATGATGAGAGAGTAAGCTGACAGGAACTTTGACAAAATAAATAAACATCGTATTAAAAACATGTATAACCTTTCCATGTTACATTTAATTTATTTAAAGATGCTACATATAGTGTGATATATGGCTGATGGCTGTGTGTGTGCATGTGTTTTTGTGTGTATTGGTTTTAACCTATAAGAGTACTGTTAACATTTGCAGAGCCCTAGTCAGGAATACATACTGCAGAGGGTAGGTAGGTAGGTAGCATCCGTAAATGTCTTATCTGAAACTCAGTTGAGATTCAACTAACAGTATTTACTATCAACAATAGAAGCTTTGCTAATTGGCACAATTGAATGTAGCAATGATTATAATCACTGGTGAATGATTATTTTCTCTGGTGAAATGACTGGTGTTTAAGATATGGGTTTGGCTAGAAATACTGCACAGTGCATTTTGCCCTGGCAGAGCACTGAAGGAAAATCTGGTGAGCCCAAGAACCTATATTTTTAGGAATGACATTCTGTGATTTTGATTCCAATCAGTTCTGTGTTGAGCAGTTTGTAGAGGATTTTGTTGCCTGACTCCAAGTAAAACTTTAATTGAATCCTGCCCTTGCAATATTATTGCATTTGCCTCTGGTGGATCTTTGATTCAAAGGACTATTGGAGAAACTCTAAAGACAGAGAGTTGGGACTTTATTGAGCTTACAGTTTGAATAGCTATTTTTTAAATATCTGATATGTTGTTATGTGTGGAGAATTTAGCCTTGAATTATTTCTTCTTACAGTTTACTACATTATTTTGAGGCTATTGAGGATGAGGCCTAGAGTCCTCATTACCTCTAATTGTTGATCATGGATATCTACCAGTAGGAATCTAATAATTATGAATGAGGAAAGTCACAATACTTTTTGATGTGGTTTGGCCCCCTGTCCCCACCCATAATTCCTATGTGTTGTGGGAGTGACCCGGGGGAGATGATTGAATCTTGGGGGTGGGTCTTTCCTGTGCTATTCTTGTGGTAGTGAATGGGTCTCATGAGATCTGATGGCTGTAAAAACTAGAGTTTCTCTGCACAAGCTCTCTCCTCTCTTTGTCTGCTGCCCTCCATGTAAGATGTGATTTGCTCCTCCTTGCCTTCCACCATGATTGTGAGGCTTCCCCAGCCAGGTGGAACTGTAAGTCCAATTAAACATCTTTCTTATGTAAATTGCCCAGTCTCAGGTATGTCTTTATCAGCAGTGTCAAAGTGGACAAATACACTTTTTGACCTACTAGTTCAAATTCTGGGAATTAATTCTGAGTTAATAATTTAAAATGTGTGTAAATTAACTTCACTGTACTCATCAATGAGTTGTTTATCATAGCAGAACAACAATAGAGAATTAATTGAGTTATATATAGTATGTTCTGAAGTGGAATATTAAGCAGCTTTTAAAAGTGAGGGGATAGATAATTATTAAATGATAGAAAAAAATTCAGGACACATGAAGAAGAAAATGATATTAAAAATATGAACAAAATGAAAATATATAAGAAAGTATATAATTATGTGAATAGAGTGTCAATTGTGCAGAATAAGATGAAAATATAAATGATTTGATGAATTCTGTATAAATTGAATGTCTCTAAATTGAATAACATACCATATGGACGGATGTGGCCGTTTAAAGGAGACATTTGGTATAACTGACCCTCATTATTCACAGATAGCATATTTGTGAGTTTGCCCACTTGCTAAAATTTACTTAGAACTCCAAAGTATATGCTTAAGGCATATGCGTAGGCACTTGTAGACAGACGAGGTATATGTAGATGCACAGAGCATGAAAAATTTTAGTTGCCCAATGCACACATACCTAGCTGAGATCAAACAAGGTGATGCTCTGCGTTCTTGTTTCAGCTCTCATACTCTAAAGAAGTCTCCCTTTTGCAGTATGTTTAGTGCCATGTTTCTCAAATTTGGGGTTTTTCTCTTGGTGATTTTGCTGCTTAAAATGGCCTCAAGCATAGTGCTGGAGTGCTGTCTAGTGTTCCTAAGCACAAGAAAGCTGTGATGTGCCTCACAGAGAAAATACATGTGTTAGATAAGTTTTTTTCAGGCAACAGTTACAGTGCTGCAGGCCATGAGTTCTATGTTAATGAATCAACAGTATATGTTAAAGAAAGCATCTTTACTGATTGATGAAAATCTTGTTACCAGAGGCTGTCAGGAACCTCACCCTCTGTTGTCTCCAGTGTTTGCAGTGACTTTATAGAACATAATTACTGAGGACAACAAAAATCAACTATAAATACTTTTGCAAAGTAAAGACCTTTGGAACAATTATTTTTGGATTTTGTATAAAGAATCCAATAAAATCTGGAAAACATTTGGCTAAGAAAATGGTTGATTGATACCTAATTCCACTGTATTATGTTTAAATTCAGTGGGTGTCTCACAGACTTGTTTATAAAGGAATCTTAAGTGGGGTATCAGGCTTCTGGTTTACTTTGACTCAGTCAGTCTGTGTGGCAACCTTCATGGCAATTAACTGTGCTTTGGTGTGCTAATTATCGTTATCCCCCTATAGGGCCATTATTAGTCCGATGTCCTTAGTTTGAAGCTCAAGTGTCAATCAGTCATCTAAAACAATTGCATAGGAGGAAGTTTTGCAAGGCTGGTCCTTAGCTGAGTTCTATTTCATTATACTCCAGTTCAAAACTGAACACAAAGGTCTTTTTGATACAATTCTTTATAAAAATACTGATTTATCTACTGAAAGCAAACTTGAGGTTATATCTTAAAATCAGAGATGGGATACAAGTGCTACTTTATGCTTAGAGATCTATTAGGTACCTATACATTAAACAAGTAAAACCATAATTATAAAACCTCTGTATTTTTATCTGATTGAGTCACTCCTTCCATTGAATGGCCTTATTCAAGTCATTTAGAATAAAGAAAGGTGGTATATATGAGTTTGTTTTAATCCCACTGTATGCCAGGAGTAAGGAGAAAATTGTATCAAATCAGATGTGATCAGAAGACAGATATTTCTTCTCCTGTGTTGCATTCCCTCTTTCCTTTTCTTACAGTATATCCCCACTTATCAAATCCTCAGATGTGTAGAGAAGGAATAAGGCAGAGGCAATAGGGGAATGGAACAGAGAGATGCCCTTTCTGGAGTTTGCAGAACTGTTGCTTGCTAAGTAAAACCTGATGATGTATTCTATTCATGTCTCCAAAAACTCAAAAGCAGTTTCAGCGTTGATTTCCCTTAAGAGTTATCAGACCTCATTCAATTGGTTTAATGAGAGTAAGAGGTGACCTTGTGTCCACATAGATACACTCATATTAAAAGACCGGGATGTAAAACTTCACATATGTGTAAATAGTTATTTTTGGAGGGTGTTGTGAGGGTTATTGCAGCTCTCTGCTCAGATGCTACTCAGGCTAAATGAGCAGGATAAATTTTCCACTGTGTTATAATGATGATTATTTGCAAATTACATGAGCACCAGTAATTCATTCATGCAATGATACAGAGCAGGGTCTCAGTGCAGTGGTATCGAACTTGCTGCTGGCTGTGTTAATTGATTCATTTGGAACATTCCCCCACCCCCAGAGAATCCCAATCACAGGTCCCTGATCAAGAAAATGACACGCAGCCAGCGTCCTGGATATGTGGAGACACACGTGTGAGGGTGTTGTCATCAAAATAAGCCCTTTCTGTCTCCTAACAGGGGCTGAGTCTATTAGGAACACTCCCCAGTCCTGGGAGCTTCTGTGAGAGGCTTTCTATCTTGAAAAAGGTGGCAGCTGAGCATTGCTTCTTCCCTGCAGGATGGAAAAAAGGGACTGGATTATTGGCTGTATTTTAAATTAGCTGCTGTTGTAAGGAAAATTTTGGGGAGGCACTGAACAAGCTTAGCATTGGATCAGTGGGGGTGTGTTGGTGAAATATAAAAAACGCCTCCTCCCAACTTAATGTTTAACTGACATCCCCTCAACATGACCCAAATCTGTCTCTCCAGATACACAATGTCTATTTTCCTAACTACATGGTGAAGTATGGAGCAAGTCTTGGTCACATTTAGTTTGTTTCTGAGAATCTACTAGAAGACAATGCCTAGCATATAGCAGGCACAGAATAAAGGTCAAAGGAAAGCATGGAAACAAAATACGTACACTTGAAATATAGAAATAGTTAAAACTTTGAAAATTTCTTTAATTTATAGTCCCAGTGGGAGAATGTGACAGCATGTTGTATTGTTTGTTCTTTTCTGAAATTCTGTGTCCAGTATAAAACACGACATTTCCCTTTGTGTTAGGAGTATGCATGTCTACACATGAATATTTTCTGGACAACTTCTCGTGGAGCATATTTTGATATACAGTCTTACTAAAAGTTACATATATGTACTTTTCATTGAATAGTTGCAGAAAAATAATCAATCTAAAAAAATATAGTACAGGTAGTATAAGTCATGGTTCTGGTAGAAGCACAAAAGCCTTGAGAGTGGGAATCATTGATCTTAAATAACCGTTTACCATGGAAAACACCTGCATCACCAACATTTCGGTTTTGCAAAAGTGCCTATATTACAGAAACACATGGGGCAAGGAGGGTGGAATTACTTAATTACTTAATCTCTCTCCAAGTTTAAGTAATCAGGAAATTTTGGTGGGGGGTGGGGGTGGCTAACTCCTTTCTTTAGCATTAATCTCAGCAATCATGAAAGCCATGGAATGTCAAGTGATGAAAAATTTGACTACAACAATGCCTGTCACCAGTCTGGATTTGCCCACTTCCCAAACCGGAATTATAAAAATAATAATTGATTTTAAAAAGAAGACAAAACACAAAATCAAACCAAATCAACATTGAAGGAACTAATAAGGCTGCTGCATATATATGTTGGAGTTGCATGTTTATTTGCTTACTACAGTAGTTTAAAAATAGTTTTCCAGTTAACATCTTTTCCACATAATGGAGATGTCAGGTTAGGTTTACATGAGTGTGTAAATGGTCAGAAGTTGTTTATGTAACTCTGAACCGCTGAGAGATGAGCAGGAAGACCTGGGTTCAGCAAAACCTTTGGGGCTTTTTCCCAGAGAAACCGAGGCTTCTCTCTGGGTTGCTCGAAATGTATTCCAGATGAGTTCGACTGGGTTGGCTCTCCTCTGCCTGTTAAAGTCACTTTGCACACTGCTGGTGAGGGGCTGGGGCATTGCTGCCAGTCTCTAAGGTTACTTACTCTCAGGTTTGGAGTGGGAGTGAAGGGAGCCACTTCTGCAAGGAAACCGTAGATTCATAATGTAGAATGACCATAGTAACATTGTCCAAAGCACATTCTTTCGAAGAACAAGGCTTTCAACGTGTCCCACCTCCGCGCGCAACACACCACAAATTGATCCTTGTACCTATTTTACCGCAGCTGTTCCTTCTGACCTCCCCTCGCCCCCGCCCCACATTCCAACCTGAAAGCACGTTGCACGGGTGACTTCAGGTCTGTAACGCAGCCTGTCTAGCCAATGTCTTCCGCCTAAGGGCAGGCAGGTAAAAGGCTCCCAAAGGCCCCTCTTCTGGCTTAAGTTCAGTGCCACCCGCCCACCCACACTCCCCGGTTCAGCAATTTTCAGCCCAGACGCAGAAACATTTGTTTCCCTGGCCAGGGAGCCTTAACGATTCCCCGAATTCCGCGTATCCCGGAGGCCAGAGGTTTGAGTACCGCGGGAGGTCGCGCCTCCTTGTGCCCCGATTCTCGGGTTGCAAATGAAGGAGACATCGCCTTGGCATATCCCTGGCCGCTGAGCAGGATGACCCCTACGTCCCTGCACGAGAATCTGGTTGATCTTTTCCTTTGGCCTGAGGAACAGGCGAGGTGCCCTTTCCTAGTTTCGCGCGTGGGGACCTGGGGCTGCCTCCTCACGGCAGGGCCAGGCAGGTGCTGCGCCCAGCATCGCCTCCTTGGCCGCGCACTGAGCATGCCCGGCTCCGCTGCGCGCGGACTCCCGGCCTCCCCGCGCGTCTCCCGCCCCCACCGCCCCGCCCGTGCCTTCCCCCTCCCCACGCGTTTCCCCCTCCCCGCAGCTGAGGAGCCAGCAGACCGAACTCCGGCGCGCCAGGTTTTTCCAGCCACCACGAGAGCCAAGAGGGAGGGGAAAGCCGCACCAGACAGAGCACCGGGTTCAACACCAGGATTGGTTGCAAGTAGGGAGCTTTCGCCACTACACCGTGCCCCTCGGACTGTGCCGTCGCCGCACCCGAGGCTCTAGCCTGCCCAGCGCCCAGGTGCTGAGGTGAGTGAGGCGCGAGCTGTCCGGGTCCGGGTCCAGGTTCGGCTCCTGTGTGGGCTCGCGAAGCCTTGGGGACCCGGCTCGCGGATCTGGGGGAAAGGGCAGGGTCCTGGCAGGCTGCCTGAAGGACAGGGGGGCTTCCCACGGCTTTCACTCCTGCAGGGCTGGACAGCGTCTATGGGGCAGTACAGCTCAAAGCCGGACAGCCCTGCAGGGTCGGGCCAGCGGGAGCTGAACGCTGGAGCCCAGGAGGAGTCAGGGCCCCGACGACGCCACCGTCTCCCCACAGCGACCCTTCCTCTCCTTCTTAGAAAATAAGTTTGTTGCGCTGCGAGGCAGCCACAAAACAAGGAACCCAGAGCTCGGAATGCTTCGGAGACCGCTAATACCAGCTCCTCCAACTGGTTCAGGCTACTGCCCCCTCTCCGTGCGTCCCCGCCCCTGGCGCCCGGTTCTTGGCGGGGGTTTTCTTCTGAAAGCCCAGTTAGAGCCCACAGCAGAGGAAGGCGAAGTTGGGCTGGGGTTTGAAGGGACTTGGGACTAAGGAGCCCGTATGCGTGATGGAAGGGGCCGTGTGGAAACGCATGGATTTTTGAAGCGCCCACTGTGTGCCAGGCTGGGTGCCAAGCGCTGGGGCTACGGCGGCGAGCGACATAGACCAGGTGCCTGCACTTATGGAAGGCACCTGGCTTCCCCAGGCTCTGCCAGGGGAGCTTGTTAGGTGGCATTCGTTCTAACAACTTCTGGGGGATTTCCAGTTTCTTTTGAGAGGCAAGGCAGCAGTCTCCTCTCCTCCCCAGACCCAGACAGCAGCGAGCTGTGCACCAGGCGCCCCACGGACACCAATCCACTCTCGCTCCTTCTGGAACGGAGGACTCAAAATCTTCTTGCATTTTCTCTCTTGTGCTTCGTGTATATATTTTACTATTTATGAAAGGTGTGGAGGTGAGGGTAGGAGGACGTGGGCTCCTGAATCTCTGTGAACCAGCCAGAAAGTCTGCTGCAGGAAAACATTTTGCAGCACAGCGGGGAGCTCCTAAGAGGAGGCGGCTTCGCGCAGCAGGAAGATAAGGCGGTTGCTTGCTGGCCAGGGTCTCCAGATTTGGTGCGAAAAGGCTTGCGGAGGTTATGTAGGGCGAATCAGTGTGACTGAGCACCTTGGGTGTGTGGTATGCGTGGAGGAAAGTGGGCCGGATCTTGAGGTGTGTTGGGGGTTTATTTGTAAGGAGGAGTTCCTGAAAGGAATGTTCGTGGAACTTTTTCTAGTTTTCCTGCTGAAGTCAACATAGGGGTGGGGATATGTTTGTCAGAATCACAGTGTCATTTAATTACATGGGAAGCTCTTGTAGTTTACTGTAGTGGGAGCTGGATATTTCAAGGAGTAACGCCTCATAACTGAGTCGATTGGACACCTACATAAGATAATTTGGAACGTGCTTGTATTTTCGCATTTTGAGGTTTGTGGTTTATTTCCTTTTGGGTGTGGGGTAAGAGTGTAAAGACATGCCAGCAGATCCACACAATAGCGTTCCCAAGTCGGGCTAAAAGCAAGTTTGTTCTCTCTTTCTCTGTCTCTACCCAAGAGGGTGAAAAACAACAGTGTGTCATGAACACAGGCACCTTGAGGTGATTTGGGTGGCATTCATAAGAAAATTCGCATGTTACCTATGAGTTTATTCTTGCTATCTTCATTTTGATTTCTTTAAAGATTTTGTGGTGATCTCTGCAAAGGGTCGCAGGAGTAGGTAAGATTGCAAAGGAGCAAAAACAAGTTTCATGAGAATATTATTTTTGCCACCTTATAACATGCTATTGATTTGTTTGTTTAAGCTGGCTTCAACTGCTCTGTCTTGTTGAGGAGAGATCATGATGATAAACCTCATTATTTTTCCATCTGAAACCAGGGAGGTAGCTGGCAAGGGTGGATAAACTGACCTTTTCAATTAAAGACTAAGAGCCTAAGAGAAGTGACTTGTATAAGGCTGCATGTCAGAACCAATGTAAGTTTCAACAGAGGTAGATTTTCTTATTTGCAGTTTTTTTTGACAAAACTTTTCAGTTTGAGTTGTAAAACTTTTCAAGTCAGTTGGGAGTCAATTCAGTATCTTTTTCCATAGTCATTTCATATTGGCAGGTAATTAAGAGTGATTAGAGAGCTAACCTTTTAAATGCTGTTGGATTTTTTTTTTTATCATTTGCTTATTTTACCTACTTCTCTCTCCTTTTTGTTCAAAAGTAGGTCTTCTGATTTCTTTTCTGCCCTAAGGACTAAATCTTTTGGCTGCAATTTTTCTTTGAAATGTACACAGGGCATCCATTACTTCAGTTTAGGTCTTAAAAAAATAAAAGCAACCCGACTTTTTTTTTTGTCTTTATTTTTATTAATGAGATGGAGCCTCGCTCTTGTTACCCAGGCTGGAGTGCAATGGCGCGATCTCAGCTCACCGCAACCTCCGCCTCCTGGATTTCAGGCAATTCTCCTGCCTCAACCTGAGTAGCTGGGATTACAGGCACCCACCACCATGCCCAGCTAATGTTTTGTATTTTTAGTAGAGACTGGGTTTCACCATGTTGACCAGGATGGTCTCGATCTCTTGACCTCGTCATCCATCCGCCTCAGCTTCCCAAAGTGCTGGGATTACAGACTTGAACCACTGCACCCGGCGAAACCCGACTGTTTTAAACTACTCAGCAGAAAATTCCTGTGTATAGTACTGATTTTCTACAAGTTTGTCTGAGTAAGATTTTAACTTGTTGGTTCTTTGTTATATTTGAAGATAGACAATAATATACATTCGCTTCAATCTCTCTTATCTTAAAAAAAATCCTTTGTAAAAACTTGCTTTTATATTATTTTAGTTTAATGAATTTCATATGATAGGCAGGAGGATGTCTATACACTCAGATTGTTTTGTTCCTTTTTGGTTTTTTTTTTCCCCTGTAATGCTATGTTTTAAGTCTAGTGAAGGAGGCAAGGAGGCAGGATTTACTGCCTAGATGTATTGATCTTCAATTATTATTATCAGAAGTAATCTGACAACATATCAATAAAATTTATTTATAAACAGAAGACATGCTGTTGTATGATGCACGACTTATAAAACCACACAGAAAGAGAAACAAAAAAAGGATGAATAAAGCAAAAATCATGAAACAGAAGCTCTCATGCTGTTAAGTATCCCAGTGGATCATTTTGCACAGCCCCTGGGGTGTATATCACACTTTAAAGATCACTACTGGTTTGAGATTTTTTTTTAATCTTTTTCTCCTTCTCTGCTCTGCTGTTCATTATCTCTGATACTCTAGCCAGTTGTAAAACTGCTACACTTTGATATCTCCTGTAACAAATAGATTAAGCATACTTGTTTTCCTGTCATGGACTCATATGTGGATGGAATGAGGTATAAGGTGAATGTGTTTGGGAGGTGTCATCTTAGGTCTCCCAACGTAGATATACAGATGAATTTTTAAAAAATGGAATTTTAGTGTAAAGACTAAAGTATCAAAAGTCAGGAAGTGAAGAATCCAAGGAGTAAATAATGGAGGATAGGAAGGACCCTTTCCACATCACAGTGTTGTATGGAAGCTGGAAATTTCATAAACCTTGAAGCAAATTAACCTGGATCCAAATATGGCTCCATCCTTTATTACATTTACAGCATTGGGCAATATGGTTCCTTAACTTCTGTGAGCCTTAGTTTCCTTAGCTATAAAATTGGGATGACATCTACTTCAAGGTGTCATGATAGGGATTAAATATGAGAGCATGAGCCAACATGGGTCAAAGCTTGGCTCTATTAGACTGGCTCTTTAACAGCTATAACGATCCAAAAAGGATACTGTCTCAGATTTGAAATATATTTATTTCTCAATTGTGTGAAGTCCCACAATGGGTGATCATGGCAGTACTCCTTCAAAGTGTGTTTCAGAGACCCAACCTTCATCTGTTCTGTGTCCTTGCCGTCTTCAGCAGGGTCACCGTGCTTACTTGCCTCAAGCCATTGTAAAGAGGATAACTTGGGAGGGTGTTAATTGCCCAGAACTGGAATGAGTGAATATTAGCTTTCTTTGCATTCTGCTGGTCAGAACTCAGTTCCATGTGGGTGGGAAATGTAGTTTAGAAGTGTTATCCAGGAAGGAGAAGAAATGACTGGGGGAACAGCTAGCATTCTGTGACATTTTATTACTATATGTGATATTTCTTCCATGTTCAGTAACTCATACATCCCTTTCTTCTCCTACCACTTGTTTTTTCTTTTTTCTTTTTTTTTTTTTTTGTGGTAGAAAAGCTGGGCTGAATACAATAAATAATGATAGAAGCAGTTAATACATTCATAGTTAAAGCACTTTGCCCTACTTTGCCCTTCTATTATTATCTCTATTGTATAGGTGAGGAAAACTAGGCATAGAGAAATTAAGTTGTTTGTTCAACATAGTAAGCAGCAGAGCTGGGATCTGAACCAGGTTCTCTTACTCCAGAATTGATTTTTTTAACAGCTTTTTTTACTTTGCCTCATTTTTTCTTAAGCCACTGGACGGCTTTTTCCTTTTGCATGCATATATATATATATATATATATATATACACATATATATATATATGTATGTAGCTAGGGGAATTTTTAAAAATACTAAAGTGGGAAAAAAAGATCTAATCCAAAACATACTGGAATGGAATTAAATATAATACAGCATTATCTTGAATACCTACCAGGATCAG